AGTGCACGCCCGCAGTACACCAGGTCATGCCACTCAGCTCATCTCTAAGCTTAATGGATTATCTGTGGTCTAGCGTTACCGTCCTTCACTATGGCAGGTATCTCATATAGCCACAAACATACACGGAAAACAGAGTAATACAAATGAATCATGACGTGGCTAGACTCATCAGCGGTGGTGGAACAAGTACTCAATGTTGTTACTTAAAGGGCCCATATGACACTGTTACCTAATCTGTTATAATGTTGTTTCCTCTTCTCTCAAACAGAAAACACTGTTCCACCTTCTGATGTCATATGGTAATACAGGAAGTACTCTACACACCTTCACTAGAATCATTTGGATAACTTCAACACTGTAATGGATGTTAAATTGAAAACTACAGCTTCATGGCATCGCAAACAGAGCATTTTAAGCTTTAAAGATGTAAAGATGTAGACAGACTAGGGGTCAAACATACGAGAGTGAAACAAAACACAACTCCAGATATGTTTTTGATGAAGTAACAGCATTATAACATGGCTTAAAGCTCACTAGAGTCAGTTTTGTGTAATATAGGACATACTGGAGCAAGTATCACATGAAAAAATCTACTTAAGTAAAAGTATTAAAGCATCTATGTTATTAAGTTCTTTTTTCAAATCAAGAGTAGCAGTGCAAGGCGTTCTCTTTTTACAATTTTCTCCCCGTTCTGGGTTGGGATTGGATTCTTGAGGTCCAGGCCCTTTGGTATGATTCCCTCGTCCCGGCAATGCAAGTTGAATTGGAGATGGTTCCGGATACATGCCCTTTTTGATTCCAGTTGTTCTAATTTTCGGAATTCCTTGACACACTGTTGTCCATGACTTGAGCATAATAGTCCAGTGAGGTTCTTCTGATAATTTATGTCATTAGGTTCTTTTTTTCAAACTAAAAAAAAGAACCTAATAATATAAATTAAGTAAAAGTATTTTTGCACAGATTTTGAGATCTAATAAAGTGTGAAATATATTGATTTTGATAAAGATTTGTGTTTCATTTTGATCTATAGAAATAATTGAATTTATTTATTTTATTTTTTCTAGCAGTTTCTATTTATATATTTTTGTTTTCCCTAATTGTGAACATGTTAAAAAATAAACCTCTCAGCCTCAGCCCCTTGTGGGTCTCACACAACAATAAATACTATTACTTTTATGACCTGTTAAAAAATATGAAGAAAGTACAGATACCTGCTCTCAAATGTAGTGAAGTAAAAGTAAAAAGTATATAAAATGTACTTAAATAAAGTGAAGATACCTAAAATGTATACAGAAATGTGCACTATATAAATTTTTGTCCATCACCTGCTTGTTTCTACGGAGATGTCATTGCTCTGCCAGAAATATTCCACAGTTTGACATTAAATAGCTCTACCTTTTCAAGATTCTTTCAATTGCAGGTGATTTTATAGCTCTAAAACACCTAAAAAAAAAAAAAAAACATGCATTCTGACTGTGAGTGGGGTTGCCTCTTTACAGATCTGACTTATATCTTGGTCTGGTTTGCTCTCCATGATGATAAAAGGGTTTAATACCATACTGTGAAACATCTCAGACCAAGCAATAACGTCTCCATGGAGAAAAGCATTTAACGGACCCTCTACCAGAAAAGTTACACGATGCACCTTTAAGTAGAGTACATAACTACTTTTACTTTTACTTTGTTACGTTCCATCACTGCTGGTCAGATTGCAATTCCTGACTATACGGTGAAATGCACAATCTTTCATGTTGGACAGAAACACGGTATTACCCTTGAGGTTTTCCGATGGTGTGATGGATCTTTTTTTCCCAGCGCCTGATGTGTTTGCCAGATATATAAACGTGCAGACGGACACACAAACATGCTGGAGCTCCAAAATACACGCTTGGCTCTGTCCTCTTTTTGTAAATGGGAAGTAAATGCATGGTTAAAAGGTGCCCCGCGAACTTGGCCTACTTTTGGTGCTAGCAACGAACGTCACTCCGGTTCCCTTGTCTCCTCTGGGAATGTCACATCCTTACAGACCATGGGCGCCTGTGGAGTTTTTTTTTTTATGTATGTCTCAAAGATGTTGTGTAAATAGTGAAAATATTTTTGACTATTTGACTACTGTGCAGTTGTATACAGTTACATTTCATGGGACTACTGATGAAAAAAATCATCCTTATCAGCTAATTTTGTCATAGTAACAGACCAATTTATTAATGTGCACTGTCCCTGAAATAAATAAATACATGCATGCATTCATAAATAAGTTTGAAATAGTGTTGTAGTTGAGTTGTAGACAAGACCGAGACTTTTAAAGGCCGAAACAAAGACCAGACCGAGACCTGTCGAGACCAAATCGAGAACATTTTTGTAATTTTCGACTGTATTTTACAGTTATTTTTGGACATATATATCAAAGTTTTTATAAATCTATCTCCATTTTATCACTCGTCAAGTGTCAGACCTCGAGACCGACATAAGACCAAGTCCAAGCGTCTTCAAGACCGAGAGGAGACCGAGTTCAAACACAGTCGAGTTCAAGACAAGACTGAGTTCAAACGCAGTCGAGTCAGAGACAAGACCGAGTCCAAATGCAGTCGAGTCTGAGACAAGGCTGAGTCCAAACGCAGTCGAGTCCGAGACAAGACTGAGTTCAAATGCAGTCGAGTCTGAGACAAGACCGAGTCCAAACACGGTCGAACCCAAGACAAGACTGAGTCCAAACACGGTCGAACCCAAGACAAGACCGAGTCCAAATGCGGTCGAGTCTGAGACAAGACTGTGTCCAAACGCAGTCAAGTCCAAGACAAAACTGAGTTCAAACGCAGTCAAATCCAAGACAAGACTGAGTCCAAACGCAGTTGAGTCGGCGACAAGACTGAGTCCAAATGCAGTCGAGTCCAAGACAAGACCGAGTGCAAACACAGTTGAACCCAAAACAAGACCGAGTCCAAATGCGGTCGAGTCTGAGACAAGACTGAGTCCAAACGCAGTCAAGTCCAAGACAAAACTGAGTTCAAACGCAGTCAAATCCAAGACAAGACTGAGTCCAAATGCAGTTGAGTCGGCGACAAGGCTGAGTCCAAATGCAGTCGAGTCCAAGACAAGACTGAGTCCAGACACGGTCGAGTCCGAGACAAGATCGTAAAAAAAAACGATTTCGAGACCAGTCCCAAGACAAAGACCTGTCACGAATACTACAACACTAGTTCGAAACAACAATGGCACAGTGCGTTGAGTGTCCGTCCGCCTTTGAGAAGATAGTAGGTTCTAATCTCATAAAAATATGTACTGTCCTACTGTCGCTCTGAAAACAGACGTGGTCAACAGTTAGGGCATATGACATTTAAAAAATTGCATTAAAATTATCTATCGCCATGGAGACAAGCAGTTGATGCCACAAGCCAAGTTAGATCTGTGGAGATGCAACCCCGCTCACAGTAATAAACTTTTTCAATGTATTTGTATTGTATTTGTATTTTGAGTGATAAAAATGTGTAAATGCTAGATGTTTAGGTTTAATGCCATACTGTGGAACATTACAGGTAAAGCAATATCATTTTGATGAAGACAAGAGGGTGGTGGACTCTTCACCAGAAAAGTTACATAGTGCACCTTTAATGTATACTTAATTGGTGTTACATTTTTACAAACTTTGCCTAAGACCTGGTTTAGTTCTTATTTAGTCATAGTTCTTTTCTTGCTTTGTTCAGATTCAGTTTCAGTTCTTGGATAGTCCAGGCTAAGTCCTACTTTAGTCCTTGTTTATACCTTAATTTAGATTTTAGATTTGATTTTACAACTGTTTGGACGTAGTTTAGTTCATGTTAGGTCCTGGTTTATTACAAACTAGTTTAAATTATATGATCTTCCTAAATCTTATGAAAACTAAACTCTTTGCCTCTGTCCTGCACAACTCTTTCAGTACTTCCCTCGCTCCCGTAGTCAATCCACAACTTCCCAAGTCGAGCCAGAGCGGGAATGTTTTATGAAGCAAAGTGAGTCGTGACTGAATTACACTTTGGAAAACTGAGATCAAAGCTGGTGCAAATCCCATCAAGAGTAACCTCGGGGAGCTGTCCTTAGTGCTGAACTCTGAGTCTTAATACAATACAAGGGTTTCCCAGACTGTCTTCACCGGGGCATCCTTTCTCTCAATACTGAATAAAACATGACCGACTTCATGGCACTTTAAATATAGTCACTTTTTGCAGCCTCCCGTGCCACTCCAGGACGATTTGATGTCACTGAGTTCATACGAAACAGCTGCTATTTGTGTTGGTCTTATAGAGTTCTATTTTTGACTGCATATTTTTAAAGTATTATTGTCATATTTTGGTTCCATTTTCACTCTTATTATTCCATATTCAAGATAAAAGTTGTATGGCTTAATTTACAAAAACATTTAATCCACATGCTATGATTATTTTTATGTATTTAAAGGTGTAATGTGTAACTTTACTAGCGGAGGTTCCTTGACCTGCTTACTTGTCTCCAAGGAGATGGTATTGCTTTGCTGACTGGAACGCTCCCGAGTGAGGTGTTTAACTTATCTAGCTTCACGGATACAAGCCAAATTACAGGTAAAAATCTGTGGAGAGGCGACTCGGCTCACAGTGCAAATGTTTTTCAAGGTATTTTTGTGCAATAAAACGCATTTAGTTGAACAAACGATGCAACTAAATCTGTGCAAGACAGATTCTAACACGTGACAGACCCTCCACCGGAAAAGTTACATAGTGCTGCTTTAATGTAATACAGGGTATTTTCTGTGATGCATCTGGTAATGGTTAGACAAGGGATTGGAACCCGAATATCTGAAAATCTAAGGCCAAATTCAATACTAGACAAACTTAAACTGTGCTGCCATTGCTGATCCATCACCAGCCAGACTTCTATCTGAAATGGAACCAAATTAGGGCTAAACCAGGGACAACTTTGCACTTTTGGACCAATGGGGGTCAAGTGTCCAATGGAAACACAGATTTATACAGAGTGTGCGCACTTACTGTCCTCCACATTTTCTGCGTTTTGACCGTGACCGAGGTGGCGGTGACTATCAGGTGCGACACGGAGACCATAATCCCGAACAGAACTGCCAGCAGCGTCCGCACGGGGAGCAGGGCATAGGCGACGAACGTGACCAGAATGAGCTGCCACACGCCCTGCTCCGGGGAGGTGGGGGGTTCGATTCCCATGGCCCCCAGCGAGAAGGGACAGCACAGGAACGAGAAGGTGAAGCCGAAAAGCAGCGTCAAGTTGACAATCTGCTGGAGCTGAGTGACTTGCAGGTACTTGACGTTAGTTACGATGAAGAGGGAGGCGAAGATTATGCAGTGCACCGGATGGGACCCCTTGGAGATGGTGAGAGCGGGTCCGGATAGCAACTCCACCACGGCCAGAGTGAATGACGTGAAGATAAGCACGGCGAGGGCTTTTAAAGTAGACGTTTGTTCCAGTTTCAGGTTGTAGTTTTGGAACAACGATTCGAGTTCCTTGCAGTCGAACTCATCCTCGCACACGATGGTGGTTAGGGGTACACCCGGCGGACAGTGACTTCTCTTCCGCCTCGTTTTGACTTTCTGAAACGGTATTTCCTCCATGTCAGGGCCATTCATAAACTGAACACCTGCTCGCTTGGCTCAGGAAAATTCAGAAGGAAAAGGGGGAAGCCGAAAGCAGCGAGACGCACGTAGAGGAGGCGACTGCGAGCTGTCCCACATGCAAAAACGCGCTGACCGGTGGACCGAGAAGCGCCCAGAGACTATCCACAGGTTGAAACGAGATCCTCAGCCCCAGACAAAACAATCATATTTCACCGAATGACGAGACAGTCCCGCGGGAAAACGTACGTGGAGTGTTTTGGGCAGCAGCGCGCACGACGTCTACTTGTTCAGATGGTAGCAGCTTTTTGCGAGCTCAGATAGGATCACGCCTGCGCATTATGAGGTGAAGATAAGAAGACAGGTCTCAAGCTACTCACCGCGCACAGTCAAGGCGATCTGACTAGGCTACTGCGTGTGCCACCGCTTCCCACGTCTGACGGAGCACTGTCACCTATAATGACTGTTCTTTAGCGTCCGCCTACCCGGTTTCCTATGAGGCATCTTTCCGTCATTAGAGCACCGTCTAATTTCATAAAGAGGAGACCTGTCCCACTGTCTCCAGAACATGCCGAAAACATACAGGAAATATGTTTTATTTGAATATATGGGCAGCCAAATAGGATTACCACAAAACCCTGAGCAACAGAAACAGTGGAATCTGTTTTACGCGAAAGCAAGAGGTTAAATGTAACTTCAAACGTAATCATTTTAATTGAAATAACATTGTTTTATGACTGACTTCATTCCACATTTTTTCCGACTATAAAAGAGTATAGGTCTGCTTTTTTATTTATTTATTTATTTATTTATTTATTTATAGATGTTTGGGCTTATGGTCTTTTATTAGACAGGACAGTGAGAAGCATGAAAAGGGAGTGAAGAGTAGTGTTGTAGTCAAGACTGCACTAATCGAGACCAAGACCTACAGGGTCCCGAGACCAGGACAAGACCAAGACCTCTGAAGGTCGAGACCATAGACAAGACCAAGACTTTTAAAGGCTGAGATCAAGACAAAACCGAGATCAGAGAACAAATCAAGATCTCTTTGTGTTTTTTTTTTTTTTTTTTTTTTTTTTTTTTTTTTACATTTATTTGTATTTTACAGTTATTCTGGCACATATATATCATTGTTTTTTTTTTTTTTTTAAATAAATCTATCCTCATTTTATCACTCGTCAAGTGTCAGACCTTGAGACTGAAACAAGACCGAGACTTTTAAAGGCCAAGACTGAGACAAGACTGAGACAAGACTGAGACAAGACTGAGACAAGACTGAGACAAGACTGAGACAAAACCGGGACCACGACCCATCAAGACCAAATCGAGACCATCTTTGTAGTTTTTGACATTTATTTGTATTTTACAGTTATTATTTTGACGCATATATATCAATGTTTTTTTTTTTTTTTTTTAATAAATCTATCCCCAATTTATCACTTGTCAAGTGTCAGACCTCGAGACCGAGACAAGACCGAGTCCAAGCCCCTTCAAGACCGAGACAAGACCGAGTCCAAGCCCCTTCAAGACCGAGAAAAGACCAAGTCCAAACGCTGCTGAGTCCGAGACAAGACCAAGACCACAAAAAAACAGTCTCAAGGCCAGTCTCAAGCCCAAAACTGGTCTCGAGTACTACTGCAAAAGTGAAGAGTGTCGGGAGAGACATTCACAAATTGAGAGCCAGAGATTAATTTTATAATGCTGAGTTTAGCATGTGAGCTCTGACCAAACTACTATGCCATAATGCTTCACTTAGGACTAAAATGTATGCTTTGAATTGCCATCGCTATCACTCATTTTGGACAGTGGCAAATAGGGTATTGTAGGCTATAACCTAAAAAGTTCTCTTTTTACCACCTAAAAAAAAACATTTGTCCTTCTGAGTACCACTAGGTCTAAAACTGAACGATACTTGATCTAAACCAGGTCTTAAAAAGCTCTACACAATTGCTATATTATTTTTGACTTACATAAAATCTGGAACATAACAGGAGCACTTGAACCACAGTTTGAGAACCAATGACCTAACGCATGCACCATAGATACAGTTGAATCCTTCAGATAGTCCTGACCAAGCCTATATCCGAATGTTACTGACATGTTGTTCCAGTTGTCTCCGTGACATAGAAGGATGGGTCAAATGCAAAGGACAACTTTCCTACGCCAGGCCCAGGTGCATTCCAGTTTCAAAGGGATATAAAACATGATACGCTTCCATGAAATGGTATTATTTTAGATGCTTGAAATGAGTGCGCAAACATTTTTAACTGAGGTTCTAATGCATCATTTTGCCCCCGTGTAAACCCTGGCCCGACCACTGAAGTGTTGCCTAATTTAACCTAAACCTTGAATTTACATAATCCTGTCATGTGTCTCTGATTCGGTCTGTTACACACATTTGAAAGTTATTATACTTTTAAATCTTTTTTTGCAGAAGTGAAAAAGAAAAGAGAATAGATATAACTAAACTTAACTTTCACAATTGACACTCTGTTCTGTCTGAGGCGTTGTTAGACTTTAATCTGAGCTTTCTTTTAACACAATCTGAACTGATTTAGCTGGAACTACAACAGGTGAGATGGATTTTGCTGTTAAACAAGTCTCTCACACATAAAATTACAGTCACAAGCTGTTTAGCATGAGCCAACAGTTTTTCAGTCAGTCACTCTCACCTTTTTAATGAAAATCAAACACCTAAACAGGACCATGAACACTCACACCGGCTCCTGAAAATGCGCTTTTTGAATCCATGTTGTATTTTTTCTTTCAGATCATCTTAAAACTTTTTTAACAGTATTTCCTAATGTGTGCATTGTGTCACCATGGTAACGCCTACATATTGTATCCCTAATGGTGGAATGTTCAGAAAGTTGAACAATGGAACTTGGTAAAGAAGGACATCAACACATATTTGAAGAGTGTATAATATGCACTGGCGGTTTCATGACTCTCTCTGACTCTTCTCTGGCATAGAGAGGTTGGCAGTTGGCATAGAGCGGGCTAACATGGGTGCATACCATTCATCTTGTGATTTGCCACAGACTCTAGCACCAGCACGGGCATCCTTTTGGCATCCTTTCCGCATTCAGTGGGCGGCGTTTCTCATTCATTATCAGGGTGAGATTAGTCATTTGTCAGTCTGCCATGGCACGTGTGATTCCAAGAGACTGCAATGGAAATGTTTGGGTAAATATGACCATAAAATGTAAGTTATAGGTGATATTTAAAAAGATTCTAATATGGTGCACTATGTAACATTTCAGATAACCTGTTTGTTTCCATAGGTAGATGGATAGATAGAAACAGTTGCACACACTGCTGGAGAATGGTTATGGTTATGGTAAAAAAAACATACACACTGCAAAAAAGCAATATAGAGGTAAGTTAAAATGACTTAAATTAAGAGCTTTTTACTTTATTTGAGTAGATTCAACTTGACAAGTCCATTTATCTACCAATGGAATAAGTGTGTTGTTGTTGTTGTTGTTCAAGCAAGATTTCGATTTTGTTACTTGTTAAGTGCAAAAAGTTGTTGTTTTTCTTATCGTAAGTGTAGCAAGATATTTTTATTTCATTTTAAGCACAAAAAGTCTTCCATTGGTAGATAATTTTACTTGTCATGTGAAATGTACTAAAATTATGATAAAACATTCTTAATTGAAGTAATCTGAACTTGTAGGGAAGTTAGGAAGTTTGTGTATAACATATTAACAAATAAAATAAATTGCTTTTCTGGTATACAAATATTAAATAAAATAATAAGGCTGACCAAAAATGTCCATCCCTGGGTTTCTATGGACTGTTGCCACAATTTAAAACTAAATATTATATCTTCTGAATCGGAAAAAGTCCATAAAATGTAGTAGTAGTTTTTATTCTGTCATTTTGCAGCACTACCAAACAAAACAAACATAGACTACAACCCCATAGATCATGACCGAATGGGTTTAGGCCAGGGGTCTCCAACATTTTTCCTCAGGTGAGTTACCTTTACAAAACAAAATTTCCAGAGAGCTACTCATTTTTGCAATGGCAGGAAATATGGTATACATAAGAGCCATGGCAAGAGTTAGATGGGGTACTATTAGATCAAAAATAAATCAGTGTTTATTTATGAGTGCACAAAGTTAGGCATCAAAATGATAGATTTACAATAATAATAGGCATTTCATTCAACAAATTTTAGTTATTTGAGACAATACTGCCTTTTATTACTGCTGCTAATACTTGACCTGACTTGAACTGCCTTACAGTACCTGCTGTACACTAGTGTTTTCAGATTAATTTATTTATCTGTGGTTACTGTAGTGATTAGAGATGTTCTTATTTGTTGTGTCTGTGCACGTAAATGTTGTCTTGTACTTTAATGTTTGTCCAGTCTTCTGAACATGTGAAGAAATTGACAATAAAGGTGACTTTGAACTTTGAACTTTGAATATGTATAATTCAGAAATCCCTTGGCGAGATACTTGTAAGGGGGTGGAGAGCTACTCACATCTCCCGAGCTACAGGTTGGAGACCCCTGGTTTAAGCTGAAGTAAAAAGTACTCATAATGCCTAACCCTTTTAAAAACTGACAAAATTTCAAGAAAGACAGGCATTGTATGAACAGCAAGTTTGCATTTACAATTTCACTTGAGACTTACTGTATATAAGAGACAAAATATAAATTAAAACAAACAAAATTGAATCCATACCAGTAATTCATTCATTCCAAATTCATTACAAATGTTGTAAATAACAGGAAGGTCTTGAATTATCTAATTTATTGTCCTGGACTCCATGTTTGGTTTGCCTTGAATGTTCTAGCCTGATTCATCAGATGATTTCACTTCGTTTCACTTCATAAAAAACATCTCATCTTGCAGCGTTAGAATTTGTTCCTTCAACGGTAGGCGGGTACTTTTTATCATTTAACCAATCGCTGCTATTTGGTCGTTATGTATGTAATGCACAACTAATGGAGCTAACAGGTATATTAAGCTTTTCCCAAATCCTGTAGGAAGAAGGACAATAACGTCTTTCCTCTTGATCAAATTCACTAACCATTTTCTTTGTTCTGGCTTTAAATCCTCAATCTCAGGAATCGTTGACAACACTGAATATACGCCTCTTCGCTGATTGGCTGGTGCCCGAACTTGCACTTCTGTTGTTTTTGCAAACCGTCTATAGTATTTTGATTCCTGACCTAGTCGCTGGAGAGAAATGAAATTGAGTGTAGGCACTGG